GGCTGGAGGAAACCATCGTGAGAACTAAACTGGTTAAAAATGGTGGCTTTGGGGACCAAAAAAATTAAACACATGCCTTTTGCAGCAACATGCATGAAGCTGGAAGGGATCATGCTTAGTGAAATAAGCCAGAAAGAAAAGGAAAAGAACCACATAGTTTCACTCATAGCAGGAGCGTAAAGGACCAGGCGAGAAAATGATAATGAACAGCTATATACCAGAGGCATTTTCTGGGGGTGGGATCAAAAATGGTGGGGGCGGGGAGTGCCCGGGACTATGGTGATGGCACACGGGTGGTTTGGTGATGGGAAGCCCATGGGATTACAACTGAGATGGAAAAAGGCACAAAGTTATGTAAAAATAAACAATTATATTATTTTTAAAAATGGTTGCTTTGGGGAATTCACTGAGTGATGTGAAGATGAAACGAGATTTTCATCATTCACATTTTATAAGTAAGAAGGGGGAAAAAGCCCAGTAAGCAAAAACACTGTAAGTGCTGAGAGCAGCTTTCAGACACCACAAGCTAGAACCAGCCAAGATTTCACTGCAGGGGAAAAGAGCGTTCGTTTTTCTGAGGCGTTCAGATTCCACTTGAAAGCTGACAGGCAGGGGGGTCTCCTTGGTGGCACAAGGGTTTGTTAAAGCGCAGCTCTAGGGGCTATCTGAGGCCCCTGCAGCACAAGTTCGATCCCACCAGGGAGTGACCCACAGGGCCCCCTCAGCAGTGTGTTTCAGTGGTCCGCCTGTTCTGCTCCCCACTGTCACTGGTGAGTCCTCTCACCCCCAACACCTCTGGCCTGCACTCCAGTCTAATATGCATAAATAAATAAATCTGGGGGAAAAAAAAAAAGCGGCTCGTAGGCAGGGGCACCCAGGCCGAATGTACGCGAAGTACTAGATGGACATGAGCAAGGTGAGCTCCATGTGGAAAAAACCACAGCACCCCAAGGATGCCGAGACCGGACCTAAGGTGGGCTCCTCTGCGACGGCACCTCACTGTCCCCAACGGTCTCCCCAACAGGCATGGCCCTAAGGACGGCTCTGCAGTGCCCCTGGCAGTACTGAGCACAAAGGGGGGGAAACTGCTTTCCCCACTGAGAAATGGGGCGACCTGCCCAAAGCAAGCGCCCCGTGACTGAGGCCTCTCACAGAGCCCACCTCCACACCTCCCCGCAAAGGTGAGCGCCTCTTACCTAGAGAAAGGAGAATTTCGTAATTCGCTCTCATCACGTTCTTGTAAAGCTCCTTCTGCCATGCCTGCAGCTCCTGCCATTCTTGCTCCGAGAAATAAATGGCAACATCCTCGAAGGCCAGCGGCGACTGCAAGGACAGACATGACACACCTCAGTTGGATGCGCCCAGGGGCAGCGACGCCTCAGCATACGTGGGGAGGACCCCCTTGCAGTTGAGCAGTTTCCTCAGCCAGGACATCGCGCTCCTTTAGCCTGTCCACAGGCAGTTTGTGCGAGTAATTTTTCTAAGTCGCGTTACAGGCCACAGGCATGACACCCTGAGGATGCGACTTTCCATCCCCTTTATAAATCACACGGCACTGCTGTTTCCTTACGTATTCGTGTCTTGACTTCTCTACCATCAAGCCTAGAAAGAAAAGCTCCTGTCGAAGGATATAAATATCCTGGGTCTAAAGGACAGTTTGCAGTCCCCCAGTGAAGCCCTCTGACATGAGATTCCTTATTTCTACACACCTTTGCCGGCATACGGAGCTGACGTTCTTCAACCTAATTGTTATCTATGCTACTGTGATGGGCATAAAACTGCATGCACGTGAGGCTTACGTTACTTTGTGAGGTTCAGTAGCCTCTGCGTACTTTGGGGGTTCCCATGTATCTATGTCCATGCTTGTCATATCTTTTCCTCCAAGCTCTCGTGGGCTTTTAGAATTTGAATGAACTCACTCACATTAGGGCTGAGAGCCCTTTGACTGGCATGTCCTCCAGGGTGATTTATATATTTCCACAGCCCTCCACAACACACAATTACCCCATACCAAACGCCAATGGTGGCAAGGGTGAGACACTGCCCTTGGTGAACCAAGTACTCTGGGCTGGATAGAAACCCACACCCTTCCTGCACCTACTCCAACTGCCCTGTGTTAGGACGCTACACCTCATCTCTGCTGTTCAGATTTCCTGTCTGACTTTGGATCATCTTCCTTCTACTGTTTCCTAAAAATTCACAAATTCCAACCCTTCTTATAGCCACTTCCATGAGTAAATTTCAGGCAACGTTAAGGTAACTATGTTTATTCACTGAACATGTCTAAAACTGCTATTCTTAGTGGGCTTCTCTTGTTTATTATCCATCTCACTTGAGTGTGTGTGGCTACCATTTTTCCATAAACTCTGGTTTTTACGGAATGAGGCTGCACCATGAACTGTGCTTTTCAGACCCATATGATGTAACAGAGCAGAACTAAAGTGTTTGTGTTAAATATTGTCTCTTTTCTATGATGAATTGCTTATTTTTAAATGTTCTCCAAAAATGCTCCATGTTTCCAGCTTATCAACTTTCAAAGTTTAAAAGATCCAGAAAGTAACAGATGACAGACAACTCAGGATTCCCTACTGGCTAATATTTTCTTCTTCAGATATTCTTTTTTTATTCTTAATGAATAAAATTCAAATTCTACGGTCCTCCTCTTTAATCTCGTTCTCATATTCAGTCCTATTCTCCAATCTTCCTACAGGGTAAGTATGCTGACGAAAAGTGGCATTTTTCGGTTCATATTTTTATTAACAGGCGTGCAGCCATCAATTCGCAGTTCTGCTCTGTCGTTGACACACAAATGCTTCATTATACTCTCACTTGATTTTCATTCAACAGCTTGAGATCTGTCCAGCGATGACCCATTTGCTCTCATTTTTACTGTTCCATCGGGGCGGCGGTCACCTGGAAGCTGCCTTTCCTTCCATCTGGCTGCCCGGGGTC